TTCCCATTTGTCTCACATGAATTATATTATTTAACTTTCATGAAGCTTATTGATTGTTATTATTAGGGTTAAAAATTCTCTCCTTTGTAACTTTGAGGGTTTTTAAGTGTATCTTGATGTGTCTGGAATGCTGTTCTCTGTAGCTTTGACTTTGTCCTTAGTTTCTTCTCTAGTAACTTCAACTGATTTGTCATTTGGGAAGATGACTCTCTTTTGGGTTCCTGAATCACTTTATTAGTTTTTTTTTTTATTTCTTTTTGAGACAGGGTCTCACTCTGTAATTCAGCCCGGTCTTAAACTCACTATGTATCCCAGACTGGCCTGAAACTCAGGGTGATTGTCCTGCCTCAGCCTCCTGAGCACTGGGATTAGAGGCATGAGCCACCATGCCCAGCTTGAAACACTTTAACATGACACTGGATTTTTGCTTGTTTGTTTTATTTTTCCAGTAGTGGGATTTGAGGTCAAACTTGGATCTACTAGGCAAGCACTGTAGTGTACTGAACTACATCTGTTGCCTTGTTTTGTTTTGTTTCCTTTGTTTCTTACGACAGGTTTTCATTAAGTTATCCAGGCTAACCTCAAACTTGGCAATTTTTTGATTTTTCTGCCTCAGCTCACAAGTTGCCAGGGTTACATATATGTTCCACCACATCCAGCTATCATGTTACTCTTACACTGCATTGTGATTGTCTATTTTTCTATCAGACAGTTCAGTAAATAATTATTGATAAATTTATTTTCAATGTTTAATATGTTGTAGGAGTTCTGCAGATTTTGCTTTAATAAAATAACAACAGAAATAAAACTATTGTCCACTAGTGTTTTTGTAGTTCAGAAAGTCCATGTCTGAGACGAGCATCTTGGTTTCCTTGAGCTTTTGTGGGGACATCAGCATAGTTGCTGCATCATATATTCTTGAAAAGTATACTTTTCAGCTACTATTATTATTTATTTATACCAAATTTTGAATATCAGTTAAATCAATTGTTTTTAAAGATCTTTGTTAGAACTAGAGGCAAACAAATCTCCTAACTGAAGACTTGGAAGTTGTATTTTTTTTGTTTTATTTTGGATTTTTTATGAACTTGATTGATTTTTCACTCATCAAGTGGTGGATTTCTGTGGCTTTCAAAATGGTACCTAAAATGTATTTTAAGCTTCATTATATTTTTAATTGACAAATAATGCCACTGGCACTCCATAGCTCTAAATTCTAAATCTGAGTCATTGAGCAAAAATATGCAGGAAAAAAAAATTGCACCTGTAGTTAATATATACAGTCTTTCTTCTTGTTGCTACTTTCTATAATACCTGTGTACATAGCACTTCCACTGTATTAGACATTTACAAGTAACTGGAAAATGATTTAAAGTACCTCTGTCATGTGGAGCTGTTGGCAATCCTTCTTATTACTATGTTCTTCCAAGCCTCTAGCAATGTCCTTGGTCTGTGTGGACCTCCTTTTGTCTATTCCTGGACTGGGGTCATGTTGGTCTACTGTCTTCTAGAGTAGTAATTTTCCACAACATTTGTTTGCTTGTTCATCTTCCTTGATAAATTGTCTGTTCATAGTTGAGTGCATCACTGTCCCATTCACATTCATGGTACATGCATGGTGGCATAATTGATGTTTGATTAAATCTTTACACATAAGAAATCAGTCCCAATAGCCATCCAACCTGGACATGCTACATTGGCAGCTTCACTGAGATGGCGCAGAGGTTTATACTCTCTAATTCAAAAAACTATGTTTTATATAATCCTAGAAATTTGCCTGCTGTATGTAAACAAGATTCTCCAAAGACTATGTCAGGCAAGACAGGATTATCTAGGTGTGGTTTCATAATATTTATTATTTTCTCATCTAAGTATATATTATGAATATAACAGCATTGGGGGTTTCATGAGACTGAGTGCATTGGCTCCAGGTTTTATGAGTATTTAGCCATTGTCAGAGATCTTTGCCTATCGACTTACTGTTCACTCCATCTAATGTCTAATAGCATATTTGCTCTTTAGAGATGTAATTACATACATACTAATTAGCAAGCTTGCAGTTATTCAAGGTATAGAAAAGATAAAAAGGGTTCTGACAGAGCTGTAAATATAAAGCTTAAAGGCATGGAGTAAAGAGCTCTAAATATAAGAATCAGAGGACTCTAAAACATGTAATTCTGAAAATACATTAATCAAGAGCGAGAAGCAGGTTTCTGGCTTAACGACTGAAATGGAGGACGGTTTTAATACTTGGGAGGTTGTGCCACTTTGTTTATTTCAATTATTATTTCCTTTAGATCGAAAGATACCATTTTCAATTTTTGAATGTGTTGACTTTGAAATTTTAGTGAGCCCCTAGATTGAGAATCAGTTGTTGAAAATGGATTTCAGTGTTGGGAGAAAGACCACTACTTTACACATGGATGAGCCACATGTGAGTGTGTGTGACACATTGCACAAACTGCATTCAGTAAGACACAAAGAAAATATTGGGAAAAACCAGCATCCTTTAAAGGAGTATGTAAAAAGGATGCTTGCTTCATCATTCTCCACAGTGAGGGATCAAGAGTGGAGCTGAGTGTGCAGCAGACATAAATCCACTATTTGAAAGGTTTGCTAATTAGTAGAAATGTGATATGAAACATGAGAAGGAGTTCTGGTCAGACAACCTAAAGTTGGATTTGAGGACAGGTGCACCATAGACCACTCAGAAGAGAAATCTGACATTGAGGGGAAGAATTACAATGAGGAAGAAGAGGCAGCTGCAGGAAGAATAAATGTTGTACTTTCTTCTTTTTTATGCTAAGAGGTGCATGAACATTTCTGTGATTTCAGAGGAACTTGTAATGAGGAAGGATATTGGACAAATAGAGGCTTATTGAAGACTCTTATTTCTCAGGAAACTGAAAAAAAGTGGAATTAAATACCTGGCTGGTATCACTCTTCTGGTGGCATTAGCCTTGTATCAGTGAAAAAAAAAAAAATGTCTTTTTATTTGAAAAGGAGGAGAGATAATTAAGGATTTAGATATGAGTGTAGTGAGCTGAAAAACATTATACCAGTAAGATTATGATTATAAAGTATATTAGCTTTTTTAAAAAATGCATTATCATTTTTATCCACCTTTAAAAATTATTGACCATGGGGCTGGGGATTTAGCTCAGCGGCATAAGCGCCTGCCTTGCAAGCTGGCAGTCGTGAGTTCGATCCCCAGTACCGATAAAAAGGAAAAAGACAAACAAACAAACAAACAAAAAAATATTGACCACTTTCCCAAACACTGAAAGCTTCAAGAAGCTCTTCTCAGTAACTAAAAAGTGCATTTAATAGCCCAGCATATTCATTTTATGTTCAAGTTAATTGTCACTTAAAGGTTTTCATAAGAAAGTACATTTCTGCTGTATTAAGGTGATCTTAATGTGTTTCAGAATAAATCCGATGATCTAGCCAAATGACATTTTAACAAATATTAGAAATAATGACATTAATATATACTGGTCATATGCATGAGCATTCTTTAACTTTAAAATGATTTCCTTCAAATATATTTTCAACTGTTTATTAAATAAAATGTTGAATTTTTTTTAAAAGAATTGTATGCAGCAGATTTCAGATGCTGTAACAAAATCCTTGTGGCTATACGGTTTATTTACCTTATAATTCTAGGGTTCAGAATTCAGACGTGGCACAAGCTCTGGCTAGTGTCATTCTGGCCATCTCACAACACAATGCCTGGTGTCATAATTGTGGGAGCACACGAGAGGGAGTGATTATGCAGCGAGACAAGAAACCAGAGAATAGAGAGAGCCAGTTTTCCTCCTTATAATGGCTCACGGAAGAGAGAACTGACTCCAGGAGATCAGCATTAATTCCTTTGAATAGCAGTGTGTTCATGACCTAACTGCCACTCCTAGGTCCACCTCTTAAGAGTATCATCACCTTCTATAACTCATTGTCTCATTGAGAACTAATGTCCATCACATTCAAACTGTATTTGCTTCTTGCAGTGTTAACAAAATGCCATTTTTATCAATATCCTTATCTTTTCCCAGACCTCTGTTTTACCACCCATTCAAATACCTTTGCAGCTACCAAATGAAATCTACAATTTACAATTTACAATAATAGCAGCCATACTGAGGCCCAACTGACATGCAGTATGCCTGTAAGATACTGGTTACAATTAAATGCGTAGGCCAGAGCATTCTCTGAGAGCTTGCTGATCTTAGTTCAGTTCCCCAACATCTTGTTCTCATAGTATTATAATTAATTTTCATTTAGGTTATGAGGGTGGGATCTGGAATGACTGGGGTTAATGCATGTGGATCCTGATTACCTAAAGCCTCCTGGTGAGGCCCACTGAGTCTTAAACTCTGAAAAGAAAGATGTGTTTCAGAACAGTAAACTGCAATTTGCACAGTATCCTGAAATTCAAGCTTATTTCCTTGCTAAATCCACATAGCAATGTGCATAGCTTTCCGTTCTTTTCTTTGTCCTTTTAGCATCTGATTAAATTTTGGCTCTCTCTTTGTTGTTGACCTGGACTGCTTTTTGCCTTTTGGGGAGTCACAGACAAATATTTCCCAAGCAGCATCTAGTGAAAGAGGTATCTCATGTTTCCACGTATATATCACTGCCGTAGACAGGTTTCCTTTGTCAAGTGATGAGAAACTGTGCATGCTCCTAGAAGAAATCCAGGTGGTTAATAATTCTAGCGGGAGAGTAAAAGAAGCTGGAAAGGGGAAAGTTCAGTGATTGTAGAAGGCTTTTGAAAATATCTCTTAATGCTTTCTAATGGAACATAAATGCAACTGATACTTACCCTGTGTTTTCTCTCCTGAGGAATCATTTCCTTCTATTCAGAATTTACTTTTATAGTACCAGGTCAGCATTTTTATTGCTCTGGTAACCATTTTTATTTTTGGAATATAAAATAGAAATTTGTGGTTTTATGTATAGTAATACAGTCCCGTCTCCAAATTTCTGTTTTCCTCCTGCAGAGGGCTGCTTCTCCAGGAGAACAGCAGGTTCACGGAGGCCCTCCATTATTATAAACTGGCTATTGGAAGCAGGCCTACCCTGGCTTGTAAGTAATCAATTTTTTTTTTTAATACTTCTTTCCATCCATGAAAATTATCTTTGTGACTTACAGCCTCACACAGAATACAGTTGGTGCTCCTGTTTCTGACGATTTGCTGATCAAGGGACAAACCTCTAATGATGATACTTCTTTCAATTTCATTTTGAGCTCTAATTCTATTTTTAAAAGACATATTATGATAGCATTAATGTTTACGCGACTAGATTTTAAGCTCAAAAATATGTCCAAGTATGAAGGCAGGGACTAGTTCAAGTACAAACATCCCTATCTTATATGAACTTATCTTTTTTAGTGAAACTTGTAGTATTTTCTACCATTATTGTCACATAAATATTTGTTTTGTAAATACTGATGATTTATAATCCATAAACTAAACTCAATCAAAGAGAGCTTCTTTTCTGTTTATAGACTGTATCATCCTCTCACACTCTGTTTCTTCTTTTAATCCTTAGCTGCATATTTAAATACCGGAATTATTCTAATGAACCAAGGAAAGACAGAAGAAGCCCGGCGGACGTTCCTAAAGTGTTCCGAGATTCCAGATGAAAACCTAAAGGACCCGCATGCACACAAGAGTTCTGTCACCAGCTGCCTGTACAATCTGGGGAAACTCTATCATGAGCAGGGGCACTATGAGGTCTGGCTGCAAATTTACTCTTCTTTTCTTTCCCGTTCAGTCAGATCGTGATGCTTTCTAACCCACAACATCCTTTCAGAGCTACTACCCTCCGTCGAAAATTTAATGTATGTCCATATTAAAAGGATTTTAAGATCAACTTTGTTTGCCAAAGAAAAAACCCTGCAAATAACAAATCAGCATGTTTCTTCCCTGTGAGTCCCTCAGGGCAGTTATGGTACACGTGTGAACATGAATTGTGGCCCTGTGAACGGAGAAGTCACACGCAGTGTTTCTCAGGTTCATTTGCTCACTAGTGATTTCATTATCTGAGACACAATTTCTGGCACTCTTTCCCCATACTTGGTGTTCACTAGTTCTAACGTATAAATTGCTAGTATTTTGAGTATTAAGAAAATGATTAGATGTAAATTATTCCAGTTAGATCTTTGAAAAATTATGTAATAAGAATATTATTTTCGATTGAAGGGTGACATAATAGAATGTGGTTAAGCATGTGAAGAAATGATCCAGGCTTCCCCATCGTGCTCACAGGATGCTTCCCTGCATGGGATTCCTATGAGGTGTTGTTGAAAAATACAGTGAATGTTACATTTTAAAAATACATAGTATAGTAACAGACGAGTTGCCATTGATCCCCTTAGAGGGTCCCCTTACCGGGAACACACCTGTCCCATCATTCTCACCCCTGTCGGAGCAGCTCTGCAAGTCTTTTGAGTCTTTAGTTGCAGTGTTGTGGCTGCCTCCATGTCCTGAATTGATGCAAAACTCTTATGCTGTGTGTTCCTTTTGACTTAGAGGAAGAGCTAGAAGTTGCATGATATCCACTGAACCAAGTAAATGAGGACATTCCATTATTTTTTTTATGAGCCTGCTTTTCTGTTGGATGGCACCCAGCAGCAGCACTGTATTTTTGATCACACTTGGTAAAGACTGGAAAACTTGGAGAACTGATTCATGCAGTGGCAAGAATGCTGGAAGAAGTGGGTTCAAAGGGAGAGGGAGTATTTTTAAGGGAGTTAATGACACCATTTCTTCTATTGTCACACATTTTTAAAAAAATTTAAATATTCATCATGTTTTGATCACACCATGTATTTCCTCTTTCTTTCAAATTGTTCCCTCTCTTCCCACCAAATACTCTTTATATTGCAGTGTATTAAGACTGCAATATAAGAGGAAGATAAAATATTTTAAATTATCGCACTTAACAATATTAATGAGTCTCAGTAGCTGGAAGTTTTATTTAGATTCAAGTGGTGGCTTAAATTAACCTGTCTATGGATTTAAATGACTAATAAGTAACTTTCAAGTGTGAATTTTTTTCATTTTTTTTTTTCTCGGCTGACCTGTATAAAACAGGAAAATTTGTATTAAAAGACCTTTGCTAACGTTTGACTTCTTGTTAAACTAAATTTATATGTGACATTCTTCACTGGACTAAGCATTTTCATTTGTGAAATTAAAGTAGCATTATACCAAAGGACAGTTCTATTATTTTCCTCTAGTGAACCATTTAGAAATAGCAGTGGATAGTTTTAACTTGGAGGAATGTTATTATCTTATTTTCCATGAATACTGCTGTACTTTAATGATGATTTATCTTTTTGTTTTGTTTTTGTTTCTTAAATTAGGAAGCCCTGACTGTGTATAAGGAAGCAATTCAGAAAATGCCCAGACAATTTGCCCCACAGAGCTTATACAACATGATGGGTGAGTAAAACGTTAATATTTTAATTGATATTCAGGCACTGTGGAGAAATTAAAACTTACGCTTGTGTAAAATGTAATTGTAATGAATCCTGTTGTCAATGCCTGCAAAGAAACCTTGTTCACAATCGAATATCACTTTCATATTCTTACAGCACATTTGTTTCGACATGAGCAAATAAATTCACTAATAGTGAATCTATGCATTTTTGGTGGGTCCTACAATTGTGATACACAGAGCTTTCAAAACCACTTGGATCCCTAAGTATTAGCTAGACTCTAGACAATGAGAAAATAATATCTTATGTATATGTGTATTTTTCAGTTATGCCTGGGAATGAATATTCATTTCAGTGAATATATCAAATTCATGTGATCATTGATTTTGTTGGTTTCTTAAGAGTCTCAAAAATAAACCTACAATGATGTAGAGGTTCATGAACTTCCATCCATATAAAAGATAAGAATAAGACAGTTTGTATTATTTTTCATTGATTAGACCTTGAATTTCAGTAGATTGTTTTTTCAGATTATCATTTCAAAATAAAACAAGACTAAAGATGGTAAATGTGTTATCTGTTTTTCTGTTAAATAATTAGCTTAGCTCCCTTATAAATTAGAAAATATGTAAATCTAAGTTATGAATTTTTCTAGGGATAAGAGGTAAAGAGCTCAAATTTCTATCAAAATACCCATCTTCTGTGAATGATCTCTTACTGTTTTGTAGCAAATTGTTACTGCAACTGTTTGAATGTAGCTGCAACTGAAAATCACCTGTTCAGGATGTAACTTATACAAAAGCATCACTAAATATAAAATGCCTTGCTGATGAGTTAGCAGGATCGTTTCCACATAGCAGAGAAAAGGGGTTACTTCTGTCCTTAAGCCAAATCTGTTTGTTAAGTAAACCTATTTTTTTAAAAAAGATTTCTAGATCTCCCTCATGCTTATAAAATATATGAAATTGGACTATGTGATCTCCAGGATTATACAAATGTTTCTCAACCCTACGGTTTGAGAAATACCGGTGTCTGTGTGGCGTTTTCACATCCAAAAAGTTCTGTCCTCTCCCAAACTAGAAAACATACACCTATAAGAACATTTACTACCTTTTATCTAAATGACCAAAAATCAAGAAATGCTTCAAAGATAGAATGGAGCATAACTACTGATTTTTTTCTTCATTAAATGAAGGGGGATAAAAAGCAATTAGGATTTGAAATTCCATTTGATCTTTCTGGGCATCTCATCCCAAGTTTGCTTGTTTAGCAACAGTGATTAATGCTCGCAGCAAAGAGGATAATAGAAAAATTTTTTTAGTTTACTTTCAGTTGTGGTATAATGACCTGTAATTTTGCTCTCAAACCTTCATAAATTAAAACATGTCTTATGTTGTCTAGTGTTTTTCCGTCCAACTGTCTAAATGAATAAAATGTACATGTGCATGAAGCATATGCCTATAATATGTAGATCAATGAATTTAATTAACCTTTCTATTTTAATGCAGATGTTTTTCACATCAAAATAAATACTAAAGAGATTGCTTTTTCTACCTTTGCTTAAGGAGACACAATGGTTTCATTTACAGTTTTATTCTTAATTCTAATGCTGAGGAAGACCTTGTTCACATTTTCCTCAGTAATCAAACTGGATGTCTTTCCTTATATTAGGATTTGAGGTCCTTGGCAACAGACTGCATGTGGTATCTTTATTGTTAATGGGAAGTGATGGTATACACTATAGTTAGTGATTTCAGACCATTCGTTCATTCATTTAATTATTTTAGGTAAATAAATTTGATTGAAAATTCAGCTGGCACCTTGGGATCTGTCTCTCACATGGTTACACAAATGCTAAGTACGCACAGCCAGCAAAAGATAAGTGTAACCCTTGGGGTTGTTCCTGATTCCTTTGTCTTATTTTCCATCATAGAAAGAGAAGGTGGCTTTGCTCAAACTGAAAAGCCCTGTAACAATTTCCTACAGGAGGGTCCCAATATAATTTAAAATCCCAGATTTATCCTATAATTATGGCAGCTGCCTTCTATTTAATTTTATGTAAAGATTTGTCAGCTGATTAGGTTTTATAGTTTCAGTTGTTCAAGAAACTATAATTTTCTCAGAGACTGAGTTCACCTTCTAATCAAATGGGTTAAATCCCTTGAGCGTTTGCTTTAACTCCTAATACATTTTGATTAGCCTCCATTTGACAAGAAAAAAAATGGCCTAGGAGATAAGCTGCCCTATCAGTTCATCAGTTTCATTAGTCTGTCAGCATGTGCTGATTATTCTATCAAGTTTATCAGCAGCCTGGAATGTGTTTTCTAATTCACACATTTACATATTATTAGTGCCCTTTAGGGATCAGTGATGGATTATAATGTCTGGCTCGATTTACCCCAAAGTATTCATTTTTCTCATGTGTTTGTCATTCGTCCCTTCAGACCCACTGGCCCTAGGCAGTTGTGCATCTCTCTCTATATATATATGTATTTTTTTTCCATTCTATTTTCTTTGATGGTTAGAAAGAGAAGTATATATGAAAATATATAATTATATTCGCATGTTATTCACTTCATCAGTAAATTTGCTGAATGTGCTATTTAAAAACACTTTAATCCTTTGCATTCCCTGTGAACATTTTATGAATTTACATGACTGTTTGCTACATTCTAGCTCATTTATCTTGACCACAAACAGAGCATATTTTTCCTTTTAGAGTATAAATAGAAAATAACTTCAATTAACATCCTTCACAACTTAAATTTTCTATATTTTATTTAAGATGGTTAAGTTAGTTTTATTGTGGTAGTTCAAAAGTAATATTAAAAAGAATATTTAAAAGTATAACCTTATTATTGGCTTTGATTTTATAAGACTAAAATGTTAAGAGTAAAATATTGAGTATCTTCCCTCCCAGAATTAGGTAAACTGCATAGACATAACATAAATCAGGTAGCCAAATTTTGTTTTATAAATAAATACTAGACTTCCACCAAAGTCGTTGTAATTATTAAGGAATGACAATACATGAAATATTAAAATGACCAACTCATGAATTGAATTGACTAATTCTGTTTCCTCTTGAGATAACAATTTTTGATTAGTTTACTGTGTTGTCATATCTGAAGTCAGATAGTCGAGGTTCTGACTACATCTTTGACATGTTCTAGCTTTTCATGTTCATGTGCAAACTACGTAATAGAAGCTCCAGGCCCATTTCCTTTTCTGTAAAATACCAGTAATAGCATGTATTTGGAAATTGATTGAAAATTAAAATAATGAAGGTAAAACATCTTGGCTTAATGTTTTATAACATGACTTTCTGTTATAATATCCATCAATCTGTGAGTTTTAAGCTCCAAAATGAAAGGTTGTGTGCTTGTCTGTTGCTTTTGTGTATGGCAGTGTAAAGGAGATTGTTTTTGTCATGCTGATAGCCAACTCTGTGTCCTCACTAGAGATTCTTAGTTGAGTCTTATCTGGAACTGTTGTAGGTTCTTCCAACGGTTGGTTTTTTCCTCATTTCTCTCACCAATCACTACCAGAATCATTCTTCTATCAGTGATTAACAAAAAGTGGAACATCATACTCAGTTTATGTCAGTTAATCTGATTTCATCAACAGGCTGCTCCTTCTAAATTACAATTGTCGATGTTTAGGATATTTTCTTCTCTTGCTGTCATGGTATAGTTTTCCTCTAGTGTTAATCAAAATTATTCTTTACTGTGATAAGCATTAAGACTATTTATTGGATTTTAATTTATCTTTTCCTCTCTGACTTTAGATGTATTTTTAAATCATTGAATATTAGAAATAAAAAGTTTATATCTTAAAAATTCTCATAGTCTGCTTTCCAAGATAGTATATTAAAATACCCCCCAAACTGAGTTTATCTGTTCAGGATTACAGTTTGTATGAAAACCAGAAATGCAGTTTCCTGACTTTAATTCAATTATTTTTTCTGTTTAGACTTTCCATGTTATAGAAAATTCATGTTCTATAGTATAAATAAATAGGTTATCTTTGCAAATGTAATGCACAGTAAAAATAAATAAATAAAAAGCCCTAGAATTTTAACTATTTAAAAAATTTATAAAACTGTGGTTTCATCACAAAAGTATTAAATATACAGTTTAGTAAAATTTTCAATGCAGGATAATTTTTGAATAATTGTATGTATCTTTTTCTGTATAACTGTTTATTTCCCTTGTTATCGTTACTTTAGTATTATTTTGTATAATCCTGAAGGACTATGGGAAACTACACAGGCTTTGGCTTTCAATTATTTTCATCATTTTGAGCTCTTCCAATCCCAAAGGTCATTGTAAGCCTATTTACTGCTCAAAATAAAATTACTTGGCTTTTTCATTACAAAGTAATTGTTGGCTTTAATTATACAAGTGATTTAGTCCATTTTATCTTGGTGATGGATCTTGAGAACGAAGCTGAATAATCTGTTGCATGGAGTAAGAGAGAACTTAAGGTCAGTGTCTTGTCCTTGCAGTCCATAATCATGGTTTAAAGTAATTTTGAGGTACAAGAAATATTGCTGAGTGCGAGGATAAATAGGTGTTACTGGCGTGAAACGTGAACAGTCGATCTAGTTTCTGCTCTCATAGATCCCCGGTAGATTTTGCAGTTGATCCAAAGTTCTTTCATTCTCTCCTTAATAAGGAGATATGTAAAAATAAAATAGAAGGCTAATATTCTCTAACCTAGAAAATAATTTATCTGTAACTGTGTAGACTGTGCTACACAGTCTGAAACAAATAAAATAATTATGAACACCTCAAGATTTATAATTTTGAATATGATACTACTACCAGATTGGCATGTTTACTCATAGTTTCCTGTTCTCTAAAAAAGTACATCTTTATAATATGCAGCATGCATTAATCTTAGAAAGCAAGTAATCTCATTGTATTTGTCAGAGGAACTACATGATAATGACCCATTGCTTTTTATTACCTTATTTGCCATTCATTTCATCAAAATGTTTTA